ATGGAATTCCATAGACTGCAGTGTGATGACTCCTGATTATAATGTTCATTTTCCATCTTTCCACTTTCATTTTAGGAGTAAAACCAAATAAAAAAGTTGAATTTTTATTTCGGTTATTAATGCTATGTATTGAAACAAAAGGGGTGGGATAATTTGTTTTAATAGGGCTAATCAAATATTTTTGCACTCACTTGTCTGGACAATTGGCTTCAGAAAATTCACTTGTCCCTCCTACATTTTCACTTTTCAAAAAGATTTCACTATCTTGCCAGGATTTAATGAGATGTATGCATTTTAATCAATAGAAAAGGTAATGAAATAATTGTACTTATTTCTTCAAAGGCTATTATTGTCAAATATCTTAAATACAAGTGGGTTTTTTTGTTGCTTTAATATGGAAGCATCCATGTTTACATCAGCAAGAACAGCAATGAATTTACTGCATTTGAGACTTCTCCATACTTCTCTCAAGACTGTCAATTGACAGTGTAAGGTTGCATGTACAGGATTTGAATGAATAAATAGATGTATGATTCAGACATTCATAATGCCTGGATTCCCTGATTGGCCAGACAAAGGTACGAAAATGATTAAAGTATGAAAATTCTTGCATGCCCGACTTGGTTTGAAATAGGAATAAAACACTTGTTCCAGGCTAGTGCTTTGAACAATTTTGCTTGTCTGACCTTGAAAATGATTAGTCCATGATGTCAGGCTATGGGGTTTGATCAGCCCATGGTAATGCCATAAAATCAGTGCAAAGTGAACTATGCTTTTGGGGCCTGTTTAGGTAAATTACAGAATCTAAGTGACTATTTCACCTGAATCACCCCCTAGTATTGACCATATATGTATTCATATTCTTCAGTTTATGTGTATTATCTAGAAGTAACCAAGAGAGCTCCCCATTTTCATAGAGATAGATACTTCTTCCACAGTTAGAAAACTGTTTGGATAGTGTACACTGGTATTTTGTTCTTTCATTATTTGATACTTTAATGGTTGATACACACATTTTATGCTTTGATTAGCTGACATTGGTAATGGCTGACACACATTTTGTGTTTTGAGTAGTTGACACTAGTAATGGTCAATGAAAACATCAAATGTTATGATACAGCACATGGCCTGATATTCATCTGCTAAATAATACTTGGAATGACATGGTCTAGTGTGAAATGCTAAATGACATGGCCTAACGTGAATGACATGGTCTAGTGTGAAATGCTAAATGACATGGCCTAATGTGAATGACATGGTCTAGTGTGAAATGCTAAATGACATGGCCTAATGTGAATGACATGGTCTAGTGTGAAATGCTAAATGACATGGCCTAATGTGAATGACATGGTCTAGTGTGAAATGCTAAATGACATGGCCTAATGTGAATGACATGGTCTAGTGTGAAATGCTAAATGACATGGTCTGATGTGAATGACATGGTCTAGTGTGAAATTCTAAATGACATGGCCTAATGTGAATGACATGGTCTAGTGTGAAATGCTAAAAGACATGGCCTAATGTGAATGACATGGTCTAGTGTGAAATGCTAAATGACATGGCCTAATGTGAATGACATGGTCTAGTGTGAAATGCTAAATGACATGGTCTGATGTGAATGACATGGTCTAGTGTGAAATGCTAAATGACATAGCCTAATGTGAATGACATGGTCTAGTGTGAAATGCTAAATGACATGGCCTAATGTGAATGACATAGTCTAGTGTGAAATGCTAAATTACTTTTTTGTCTACTTTATTCTGCTGAACAAAAAGATGTCTTTTTTTCAAAATCCTACTTCATGTTTTTATTTTAAATATAAAAATAGAACATAGTTTAACTAATGTTTAGTATTCTATTCTGTTCACTTGTGTCTGTCTGGTAAATATGCTGCAAACATTCTTGTCCTTTTAAACAGAATCCAGTAGGAAACTAATGGTGCCTTATAATCATTCTGCAACTTTATTCCATTAGCACTTGTAAACAACAGAGTATGTTTTAATGAAACCTAAAGTTATACTGTGCTAGATGAATTGGTTTCTTATTGAGAATGTGTTATTAAAATATTTTTATACCATGAACAGAACAGCAACATCTTTTACTTCACTCTAATTTAAAATGTCAAGTTTCTTTTCAAAACAAGAACATAAGTAAATCACTCTGCAGTATAATGCTTTGATCGGCTATAAATAAACAACTGTTGATAGCTGAGTTGTAACTATTAACAGTATTTGGTGTTACATATATGTGATTAAATTACTTTTGTGTAAGGTTTAAAATTACTTTTCTTTCATTTTTGTTTCATTGTATTTAAATGCAATGAATATTTTTATTTTATTTTATTTTTTATATTAAATGCAATGAATATTTTTATCGGATTCGTTATTCTTTATATAGTAGTGAGATATAATTTTAGCATAAACTTTGTTTATTTAGGACAAAAAAGTAATATGTGAGGGTTGGCAACAGGAAGTAAAAATGATTGGTCATACTTCACATGATCACTGTTTGTAAACAACCTATTTTTATAATTGGTTTTTTAGTCGGTCTGTACTTCGGACATGAAATAAATAGCGTAATAATAGACTACATGACCATCTCGCGAGAGTTGAAGTGAAGTTTCGAGGTTAAATAAGTATTCTTAATATTGGTTTGGCCAGAGTCATTTAAAACCTTGAAGAAACAAGGTGTTATTTTTAAATTTGTTACCGGAATATTTTATTGTCTGATTTTTGGATTTAATAATTTATTTTCCTGGACATTCAACAAGTTGACTTTCTTAAGAAAAGTTCTGAAAGATATTCAAGCAAATTAATTCTGGAATTATTTGGAAACAAAGACTGTGATTCAAGTGAGGAATTATTGTTATTCATATATTGGACTACATCTGACGTCATCATCCTCCATATTTATATGTCGTCGGGACTCGCACCTGAATTCTTATAGGACTATTTAGTGATAGGACTAGTGTTTTTATTCTTTAAGTCATATTTGGATTATATTCACAGATTGTAAGTCCTATTTACAAATTTTTACATTGTTGTCTAGGGAAATAAATTGTTTTGTTGAAATATACAAAGCTTGTTGGCTTTCACTCTTTTCTTTGTTACTGAGTACAAGCCCTTGTCATGTAACACTGGTTCATGGTACAAACTATCAGGTTTCAGTAAAGTAACCAGGTATGCACCTGTTTAAGTGTCTAATTAAACATGGGGTATAGTTCTCTCTAAACAATGAAGCATTTCAAACCATGCCCCCCTCTCTCTCTATCTCTCTCTCACAGGAGCATGCAAAGTAACACCAATATATATATATATATATATATATATATATATATATATATATATATATATATATATATATATATATATATATATATATATATATATATATATTTATTGGTGTTAATTTGCATGCCAGCTTCATCTAAGATACCATGAAATGCCCATAAACTGCTTATATTACATTACATTCCCATTATTCCCAACTGCAAAGAAGCCCAATATGATTGCACATCTTAGAATTTCAAACATGTATTGATATTTTTTAATAATTTAAAATGTTTAAATAATTTGTTCATTTATTGAATATTTCAAGTTGTAAAAGTAGTTCCAAGGCTGGGTGTGAGATATAGAAGTTTTAGGTGTGTTATACTGAAACAAAGATAGAACATCTTCCTTGAACGCTAGATCAGCCATGTAAGAATAAAAGGATGTGTGATCAAACAAAGGAAACAAAATCTGTGATAACTTGGTATATTGAGTTTTGTCAGAAGATGACATATTTCAAGTGAGGCTTCATTGTAAATTTGTGTAACCTTTCGTCTTTCATTTGCTTTTTTAAAAAAAATTTCTGTTTTTCTCATTATATTCCATATAGGTCCAAATTGCAAGAATAGACACGTGAGAAGGACTCTCTGCATCAATTATCTAAATGGCTTTTGTTTAGATGGACCAAACTGCCAATATATGCAGTAAGTATTAATGTTTCTAGTCTAATTGAACTGCATTTCTCTCTACCAGGAAAAATGACTGGTATACTTGTGATGCTCATTTCAACCAATGGATATTGCCATTGGTTGTGTACATACTAATGCATTTTTGCATGTAATAACAAAAATGTCAAAGATAAAAATCACAACATTTAAATCTGAAATCATTTTCACATGTACAATTTTAGTTTTAACATATCAAAGTAGAAGTGGCTTTCAGGTCTTTAAAGATTCCTACAAATTCTTGAAGACCCACAATTATGTTGCATGGTGGTCCCTTTCCAGCATTCTTCTATTGGAGAAAGGAGATCATGATCTCGTATAAATATTTGTTGTCAATTCTTTTTAAAAGAATTTTATTCCAGATGGTCATTTCAGGAGTCTTAGTGTTGTCTAAAATTTGATATTTTAAAAAAGAAAAATTTTATTTAATTTAATTTTGTATGATCCTACAGTTTAATATATTCACCATGTTGTTTGGGTCAACAAACAATTTGAAATATCAGGGTGGACATCTTTCATTGCAGGACTAAATTTTGTTGAACTTCCTTGATAAAAAAAAAAACATAATTTGAGTTATTTCCCCTGGACTATGACCCTGGTATGTGTATATTCACTTTACTTCCAATTTGCCTCAATTTTAATCATATTAGTGAAATTGTCATGGGACTTCATTTAGTTTAGCAATCATAAATGCAATTATTTTATTATTTGAGGATTGCAACATTTTTTTTTTTTAACATGAAAAATGTCTCAATATTCTATCTCTATGTATATTCCCAATCTCATACTTATCAAAAACCGAACAATAGATGTTTGTGTGTGTGTGTGTGTGTGTGTGTGTGTGTGTGTGTGTGTGTGTGATTTACATTTTTAACATAGCTTTAATAATTTTTCAGTCATATCGCTACAGTGTCTGCAGTGAGACAGTTTATAGTAATGTCTAGCACTGGGGCATCATGCCACAGACATGATGCAGCTGTTAGTACCATTTTTAAAGTCTTTGGTATGACTCCGCAAGGGTTTGAACCTGCAACCCCCCCATATCCGAGACAGACACTCTCACCACTAGGCCACAGGAGCTGTCAGTAATAGATATATTAACATGATAATTGAACAATAAAGTCTTTATCAGTATACCTAATAATGAAAACTAGTGGTAATTATGTTTAAAGTAAATCTTTATCTGTTAAAATTCTTCTGATACATAAAGTTTTAAAAATGTTATGTAGGAAACTCTTGTAACATACATGATTGAAATTATGGTAAAGAAAAGTTTGGGTAACCTACATTTCACTGATTTGGACAAAATGTTGACAATTTTGGCTACAATTACCATATAATCAAAGTATAAACATGCACCAATAAGTTGTTCCTGTTCCGGTGACTAGGAATTTCCCAACTGTTTATTTTCACTAACCCATCAGATAAGGCATTACATTTTTGAGTTTGAAATAATTATTGCTTGTAATGATGTACTTTAAAATGTCATTTTTTGCTTTCATTGATAAGAAATTTGTAAACTGATTTGTGAATGAAAAGGTGAACAGTAACATGAGTTGGTATCACTGCAATCAGATCTGCTATCATTAGTAAATCTCTGCTGGTATGTGACATCCTTTGTACATTTTCAGGCTTGAATTTTTGTTGTCCTTCCGTATTAAGACAAATATCTGCATTATACTTTTCAGTCCTTCCTTTGATCTCCCAGTCATGGACCCAGCATTACAAGCCAAGAAAGCCTCCATAGTGTGTCATCATTGTGGAGAGTCTGGACACAAGGCTGCTTCCTGCCACAAACTCCTCTCAGAAAACAAAATCAACAGGCCTGAAAGTAACAATCACCACCAGGTAGGAAAGATTCTGGTCCTCATCTGTGACCCCCCTCATTCCAAGGGAGGCTACTCCCAACCCCCAAGGAAAACCCATGTAACATACAATAGAGAGTACTTTGTGATATTTGTTGTTCATATGATAGCTCCTTGATGAGACTGCCTATTAATTGTAGAAACTGGAGTTATGTGTTTGTAAAACATGCCTCTGTGCTTCCCAGTTTAAACCGCTCTTCCACCCACTCCTACCAGGGTAAAGATTCTGGTCCTCATCTGTGACCCCGTCATTCCAAGGGAGGCTGCTACCAACCCCCAATGAAAACCCATGTAACATACAATAGAGAGTACTTTGTGATATTTGTTGTCCATATGATATCTCCTTGATGAGACTGCCTAATAATTGTAGAAACTAGAGTTCTGTGTTTGTAAAACATGCCTCTGTGCTTCCCAGTTTAAACCGCTACTTCCACCCACTCCCACCAGGGTAAAGCTGGGCTCTAGAACAGATGTTAACCGCACATGTTCATGATGCATGTTCGACTTAAATTATGGATGAAGTGACTTCTCCCCACTGCCAGAATAATACAAACTAGAGTTTGAATTGAAATGAATATTAAATTTTCGCTATATATTGCATGTGTTCAGATAGAGTTTAAATATTATTCAATGCTATTAAACCAATAAAAAAATTTGTTTTAATTCTTTTGCTTGGGTCTACCTAGGTATTTAATGACAGTTTCACCCCCAGCCCACCCACCCACAACCCCAGATGTATACAGAACATGTTGAAATCTGTAATTTAAACATCTAAATATAATGTTATGTATATTTAATTTGTATCATGTGTTTAGGTTTTGACATTGATTGTAAATTATTAACAGAATATTTAAATAACATTTGAGTTCAAGGTCAGTCTTTTTAAAGTTAGGCTGGGTTTTTCTGTTGGAATTTTTCACATCATGCTAAGATATAGGACAAGTGAAAATGAGTATAAATAGGGATTTGATAAACAAATGACATTCTTATTTTGGATTAATCTGTGGGAATCAATTTTTTTTATCTTAGTTTACAGTTGTGCTGTTTAAAATTGGATATAATTAGAGATGAATTATTTAAAATATTTTTTTGAATTACTAAAGTGATCATTGACTTTTGAATAATAAATTAATTTACATTTTTGCGAACTCCTTCAAAGACATTCTGGATTGAATTATTGTGTTATATCAGGACATTCAAGACTATTTGAATTCATTTGTTACATTCTGTATTTTTTTACATTTGATAGGACATTTAAGATTATTTAAAATTTAATTCACAATATTGTGATTTTTGAATTTTCATTTTGTCTTGTTTTGGAAATAAATTGCTTGTTGAATTTACTGAAATTATTGGTTTCACTCTCATTCAGTTACACCTTAATAAATCTGAATTGTATTACAAATTAAATAATAGTTTAGATATCTTAGAAAAGGTTTTTGTAATTTTGACTTAAAAAAAAAAAGGAATGTAGGTCCTATTTGTGCCAGAAATTGTGCCAAACAAAATGTTTAAGTGCAGACAGTGGAAAATTGGTAAAATTAATGGCATTGACATGTCATTACTTGTTGAGCTAAATGTGGGTTTAATCAAATAGAGCCACAGTGGCTGAGTGGTTAGCATGCCAGTTGAGATGCTACCAAGTTACTTTACTGAAAAGTAGACTTTCATGTGAATAGGCTGCTTTCAGTGCTGATTACTTGTTAGGGTTGGTAAAAGTCTATTCCTATACAGTAACCACCAATCAAAATTAAAGTAAACTGTTTACTCCATGACATACCAGAAGTCTATACCCTCAAGCTTGAATCCAAGTAGACAAGATATGAAGCAATGGAGAAACTTCACACAAAGTTGGCTGTAAAAGGGCCCATAAAGTACATAGGGTAAAGTTTGGAAATACAGTAGTCCCCCTCTTATACGGCCACCCCTTCTGCACCGGGAAAGTGGCCTTATAAGGCGGGTGGCCTTTCCAGAGGGGGACTAAATTTTTTGTGAGAAGTATATGTACATAGTAAGAAAGCTTCATTTTTCAAAGCATTTAATATCTTCGTTTAAAAGCAACATTAAATATTGAGTGGTTCTTGTGCTATAATAGTTTACTTATTTTATCTGAATATGCATTAATAGTTCTTATTCTTGGCGTAAGCGTGATATGCGAGCGGGAGTTGTCTTGCACATTGCAGAACCATTCAAAAACGTCATTTGAATCATGGTACATACGCAATTCTCTTTCCATTTGCTCCATTTTCCAACTGCTGCTAAATAACTTATCGGTTACGATGTTATTTTTTCGAGTCTTTTCAACATAAAATTGTTTTATTCGAGTCTTTTCTACCTAAATTTGTTTGATCAGTTCCCCTCCCCACCTCACCAGATATCGTAGACTATAATAACCGACGTTTTCTGAAATAATCATCTTCGTTTACGTGATGACATGTTAATGTTTGGTAATGAGTTATTCTGATTATGCTAACTATATGCGCTTTAATTATGCAGACGACACGTTTGTTGAGCGGACGAAATTCTTTCTTCATAAAGAAGCGACAAGTTGTGTTGTCACGTGATTTTTCAGTCTTTGTCTAGCACTGTTTCTCTTTTTAGCCAATGCAGACCGTGTGATCTTGACATTACGTCCAGTTATAGTCATCAATGTGGCAACTACAAGACTGATAAAACAATTTTTTTTCTGCATTTAAATAAGATGCCGTATATTTTTAATAGCAGTGATAATCACGTGATTCATTAGTTGCAGTCTGGTACCCTATTGTTTTTAATTTTTTTTTTTACTTTTTAAGTGCGAAAAGCGGCTTGGATATGTATGCTGATTTGATCTGAACAATAGCACATCGCGGCCGTTAAATTTTATAATTGTGGAGTAATAACCATTAATTATGTAAGTTCAACATCTTGCAAAGGGAAGCCATAAAGGCTATCAAACCATTTTCTGCGCAGACTTTTGTCTTGTACATCAATGTTGCCACTTCTCTGATGTTACTACTATTAATAGGTGTAATCTTAACAATTATCAGCGGATAAACCAAACATCTTATGATAACACGCAGTAAGGATATATGGATTACCTTTAGGTAAGGAATAAAATTTGAGTCATTTTCGGCTTTACGGAATAAATGTGGCTTCTCGTGAAGTGTAAAGGATATAATATTAACCTTACTGGTACATGTAGAACACTTTTTTGAAGAACGAAAACCTGACTTCGGGAAACAAATCGGATTACTTAACACAATTAGAAAAAAAAATTGTTCTAGATACATATTACAAAATAAAATGCAGCCACTTGTGAGGGGTAAATTTTGTTTTTGCAAAAATATGCTGGCCGCTGGTCGCGTTAGCCGGGTGGCCTTTCGTGAGGGGTAATTTTTAATACAAATTCGTCGGTGCTATCAGATTCTGGCCGTAAGGAGCAGGTGGCCGCTGGTGAGGGGGACCGTTCAAGAAGGGGACTACTGTATTTGCTTTATATTACTGTTATTTGTGGCTAAACATGTCAGTGATATAAGAAAATTTGCATGGAATTTGCATGTTGTCAGGCTTTTCATCATGAAAGTCAGTCACCTTGTGTTGACAGAAAATTATAGTGGGTGTTAATTTTCCTTCTTTTACTGACTGCAAGGATTGCCTGTGGTTATCAAGATTTACTGCCAAGTCAGGTGTAATGTTGCTGTTCACCAGGTAAACAGACAAAGATTCAAATACCAATTTTATTTTTAAAATAATTTCAAAAAGTACTCAGATTTAAATGCTAGGGTATTTGCTTGAATTGTGATGGTGAGAAAGTAGGGAAAAGAGAGTGAAGTGATGTTAGGATTTACAATGATGAAAACAGATGTGTTTATTTGTTTGATACAAATAATATGGTAATGCTCATTAAACTTTGTTTTGTAAAAGATGGCAAACTTATAACTAGATTATTTCTGAAAACAGGTGACAGATATCAAAATGCATGTTTTTATCTATTTTACAATATGAAACATAAAGTATATTTGTTTCCTGTCACTAACAATCAGCCTTATATGCAAGCAGAGTACTGTTTTCTAATGATTGGACAATACATGCATTGCACATACTCCTTTAAGCTTTATATGTGAAGCTTCTATAAGAATTGTATATTGAAGCATAATTACAGTCATAAATTCATTAAATTGGCACAGAATTTGTTCAGAAAGCACAAAAATACATTGTTACATTATATACTCAG